AAATTGTGTTTTGGCAACCTCTGGTATCACTTAAGTAGCCCATCTGTGAATTAGCACGACATCCTTCAATGACATTTGGGGCCTCGCTTCCTCCTTGCTACTCTGTTTAGAGCTTGTAAACTGTCAATTCCTTTCTCAGATGTGTGTGTGTGTGTGTGTGTGTGTCTGTCTGTCTGTCTGTCTGTCTGTCTGTCTATCTGTCTGTGTCTGTGTCTGCGGTTTGTCTATCTACAGCCCATATAATGCAGGTTTACTCAGTAATGCTCTTAGTTTTAGAAGTGATTGAAATCCAGATCTGTTTTTAGAACCTTCATGTAAGTCACTTCTATGGTGTCTTTTGAGTTGTGAGGTTTCAGCTCCATGTTTATCCAACCTTAAACACACGGAGCTTTGTACGTATTTACCAACTTCCTTACAGCACTCTCTGTACATTTTCTTCTTTTAATCTCTGGGGTTGTTTTTGTCTTGTTGCAGTTTTCTCTCTTTATAGCTGTGTCTGTTGTTCAAATAGGAGTGTGGCTTGGAGGGAGCGTCCCAAAGTGTCTGTAGAGCTCCGCCAAGCCCTGCACTAATGCATCTCTAATGGGGATATTTCTTTTCACACCTCGAAGGTGATTGAGCCTGTCCTTTAAAGTAAGATTTGCAAACCAGTGTCTGGCAGCTCCAATTAGCTTCTTTTCGGTTTCAAGTACATCACAAACAGTAACAAGGTCTCCCAGGACGCCCCTCTTGCAAACAGCGCAGTCATATTTCCTCATTACTTCTTTTCAATTGTCACTAATGCCATGTTCTGGCTTTTGAGTAGGAGACAAAAAAACATAAAAACTTGGTATGTATGTAGAATGGGTCATTGTTTTCCATAATTCAAGGCTCTTTTGAATTCCTTTGATAATGTGGAAGCTTACACAGCTTAATTCATTAACCTTTACCCTTCACATAAATCAGATGGTTAGGAATCTATTGCTAAGAAGACAGATTTTTTTTTACCTCCATCGAAACTGAGAAATGCTTTCTTTTCTTAACGAGAAAAAAAAAAGAATAAATCCACCTTATATATCTCACAAAATATCCTTTCAGTTTTTAAATTTTACAAAATGCTTCAGGTGTATTTTAGACATTCTTAAAAGCAAGTGAATGTAAAATTATCAAAAATAATTTTGGACTCTGACTAGCTTTGAGAAGGCTTTCTGGCACTTTTCTCCATTCTAAAAGAGAAAAGAGGAATATATATAATATATATTCATTCTCAACAGCTGTTACTTAGTAATTTACAATAGTAAGACTTTAGAGTTTTTTTCTTCACATCATTGCTGAAGCCTAAAAGCAAGGAGGTAGTCTTAGGGCAATCAATTCAGAATAAACTAAAGAATATCTAAGTGAACCCATGACATTTGATCTGGAAGAAAACGTTTACGCAGAGCCTCATTTTGAAGCAGATGATCTAAGATCTCCAAGGAGTCTGCTCCTTGGTCCCTTACAGATGTGGCTGGGAATGTGTCTTCATACTTTCCTTCCTCGAGCTAAGGATATGCTTCCCTGTGAGCTCTCCAAGCCCAGGAGCAGGGTGTCATGGCCTAACCGGGTGTGATTGCATGGAATAGTTTTAACAGTTTCTGATAATTTTTGGTGTCTATTATGCCATATTTTCTGTGTTATGCATTTACCCTTTATAATCTCACTACTTCCCCTAAGGAGTTTGTGTTTCTTTCTTTCTTTTTAATTCCTATATTGTTATGAGAACTCCTGGATCTATGTAGAATGCTTGTCATGTAATAGTCAGAGATCTGTCCTTTGGGATGATGGGGACAAAGTATACAAAGTGTGGAAACATTTTAAATTCTAGATTCTGATTATAGGTGCTTGTGGCTTGCCTCTGTGAACCAATGTATTTTTTTTTTGCCACATTGGATAGAGTGTTCTCTTGATTGATATATATGAATAGGGATAGGAATGGAGACACATAGTTCCTAAATACCCTGTGTGTTTCAGTCACGCTGCTCAGGCCTGTCAAAAATTAGCACCTGGAAAGCATTTTTATCTTTCAAAAGTGTTTGAAAATACCCCTTAAATTTTTCGTAAGTACCTGTCATGAAAATTTCTATTATTTGTATTATTCAACATTTTTTCTACTTGCATATTGTACAGTGAGGTTGTTGTGTTCATACCAAGAGCCTTTGTAAAGCCGGGCAAGCGTGCTTCATAGACGTGTTACACTGTAGTGCTTCCTCTAACTGTGTTCTGTGTAAAACAGGGCAAGTGTGCTTCATAGACGTGTTACACTGTAGTACTTCCTATAATGTGTTCTGTGTGAAACAGGGCAATTGTGCTTCATAGACGTGTTACACTGTAGTACTTCCTATAATGTGTTCTGTGTAAAACAGGGCAAGTGTGCTTCATAGACGTGTTACACTGTAGTACTTCCTATAATGTGTTCTGTGTTAAACAGGGCAAGTGTGCTTCATAGACGTGTTACACTGTAGTGCTTCCTCTAAATGTGTTCTGGGATGGACTTTAAAAGTGTAAGGGGAAAAGATTTGTCCCTACTGGCCTCATCTTGACCAGTACCAGTGCCACCTGAGAAGCTGCACTTGGCAGAATTAAAAGTCTTTAGAAAGGAGCCAAGGATTAGTGGTGCTGGGTATTTCCATCAGTTTACAATAGCAGAGTCGCACAATCCGACTCCATTTTCAGATATCAACAATACTGCCTTAGCTGCTTATTTTCACTATTCAGCTCCGTGTTTGTTTTAACATTGTATTAAGAATTTCAGTCTCAGCTGGAGGTGTTGTCATACGCTTTTAATCCCAGCACTCAAGAGACAGAAGCAGATGGGTCTCTGTGAGTTTGAGGCCAGCCTAAGTCTGCATAGTGAGCTCCAGCCAAAGCTACACAGAAAAGCCCTGTCTGAACCATCTCCCACAAAGGGAAAATTTCTGTCTAGATTCATAGAACTTGAAAATTCTGTCATCAAATATCTCATCAATGGATGATTTAAAATTAAAATTTTTGCTGTAACCCCTTCAAGAAATAGTTTGTTTTTCTTAATGTATTACCTCTCAAGCAAACTACATGGTTTTGCAGTATCTACTCATAATCATCTACACATCCTGTCTATTTCTCTGTCATATTTTTCTTTGGGGGGGAGCGAGGGAAACCTTAATGTTCCCTGTCATTCAGTTGTTGGGGGGCAGTCATCATCCATGGTTGTCTTGTTTTAAATACATGCTGGTTCTGTTCTTATGAAGCAGTGTTTGGTTCCCAGGTATAGTAGCATTCTTTCTGTTATCCACTACCTCTAGCCCACTCTGTGAGACCATAATGTTTTTATGTGTTTGTGGGGTATCCAGTATAGATTGAAGATGAATAGATACAACAAGAGACTACATTTGCTTAGTGTCTCTCGCAGTCAATCATAAATCAGACATTTTGATTCATTTGTATGAAGAATGAGAACAAAATACAATTACTTTTTTATTGTCACCACAGCATATTGAATTATCTTTTTTAATCCAATTAAGGATTGTAAAATATGGATCTTCAATATTGCCGAAAGTGTTTTAGGAAATTTTGAATCATTAGGATTTTGTGGTCATCTATGGCTTTTATTTTTTATTCTTAGCATGAGAAAATTTATTGTAAGTCATATGTAGTACGTGGGCTTTGCTTGAACTGTTTTATTCCTTCTTTTAGCATTTCTTTTTATGAACTTATTAAAATGCTACATTAAAGCCAAATGATATGAAATTAGGCTTAAAGTTTACCTTTACAATAATTTGTGTCAATCATAATTGTATTGTGTTTTAAGTTCTCTGCTGTAGTTATGGAAAAAAATGTTTTAATCATGAATCTTTTTAGATAAAATAGCCAAAGAAGCATGTTTGCCTGGGTGCCTTGGGAATGAAATGTTTATCATTCTATTAGGACCAAATTCTATAAAAGTACTTTAAAAGAAAAATATGTCTTTCTTACTAATTTAACCTTCAATAATGAATTATATGGGATAAAATTGTATAAAATTCCCTGACATTTTATGAAGATACCTACAAATAAGCTAGGCAGCAAATGAAATATCCGAAAGGCAGAGATGGATGTCTAGTGAGTTTTGATAGATTGTACACACAGGTATCAAATTGCTTGATCCTTACTTCCTAGAAAAGGTTAATGACTCTTTTGCTTTTTACCCTTTTACTTAACTGCTATCTATACAGATTAAAAGAGGGACTGCATTATGGGGCACCCATACCTGTGTGTCAGTCTGACAGTCCAGCTTTCTGATATTATAGCGAACCGAGTTATGAATTAGGTAGCGTGGTTAACCAGTATTTTTAAAATTTATTAAATTCTCTACTCTAGTGCTGCTCAGGCTATATTGAAAAATCTTTTAACTTAAGTAAAAAATCAAAAAGATTTTTAAAATATTATATGACTGTGTATTATTAATAGTCTATATAACCATTTATTTAAAATATTAAAAATGAAATATGTTTAAAGTGAAAGTTTTATCTTTCTTGTATGTTCTGGTTTTATATCCTTTATCAGTTATAGATTTTTACAATTTTCAATTTTATGTTGAGTAAAATTTCTGCAGATGTGCGTTTAATGATATCAAACTTCAAAATTAAAAAATTAGACTCTGAATAATTATCATTCCTTGAAAATAACTGTCACCTATATATTGCAATTTTAGTTATTTTATATATGATGCATTCATTATACCACATGGGCTTATCAGATTTTCGCACCCAAATTCACAGTGGTCTTATAGGAATATCTCCTGGGTCACACAAGGTCTTAATGAGAATGTTCAGAAACAGAGCACTTACCTTGGAAGCAGAGAACATGAGACTCCCTGAGACACCTTGAATGAGGTGTTGAAAGCTGAGAGGACTGGGGCATTCTGGCACTACTAACCTTTGACCTCTTCTTGTGGATATGTGGCCCAATTCTTGCTCATTTAAGTGGGATGCATTAGTGTAACCCCACCACTTTGTGTGTTTCAGGTGTGTGGAGGTCATTGCAAAGGAGGGACAAAACCTGAGAGAGCTGTACTTGGTGTCCTGTAAGATCACTGATCATGGTATGTAATGATCCTTTGCCCTAATCCTTACCCTTAGATGAATAAAGTCTTCAAAATCATTGAGAGTTATTTAAAGAGATATTACAACTCCTTTAGACAATTTGTGTTCATGTATGCTAATTCAGATGAAGCAAAAATAAAGGAAAAGGAATCATAGTCTAAAAACCATAGTAGAATGCATGTGTGCCTGAGTTCATGGTGACACACAGCTCCATATATACTCCTGACACACAGAACTAAAGAATGTGGGTTGAAGAAGAAGGACGTGAAAATAATTTTCAGGTCAATTAAATTTCTGATCTCATAAACATAAATAATGCAGTCAGTGCACTGAGGTCTCCCGCTCACATTAGCACCGTGTAAAATGTATGTCTGGTATTCTAATGGCAGCCTTGTTAGTGCCAGAGAGCTCTACGGCACCAGGTCTGCATCCACATTGAGAGAGATAGGAAGTAGCAGTGTCCATTCACAGCAGCATTGTACGTTATTATGTAGAATCATCTGAAAACAGCAAGAACCACCTTGTCATATGGAGTGTGAGCTCACCCTGTTGAAATAATTATGCCTTTCTTATCTTGTTCTGCTTTATATTCCTTTCCCATCAGCATGTATTTGACCTATATATAGTTTTAACCTGATAGTTGTCATTCTATGAGCGAGAAATTGTTTCCTTTTTCTGACTATTTAGATTGTTTATTTACATCTGAAATTTTTCCATCTGAGAGAACTTAATATCCCATTAAATCTTTTATTGTTAGCTTTTATATCTGCTATGACTCACATCAATCCTAGAGTGTCATGCTGACCTGCCCTGCCGAAGAGATAAGTACTTTGTGACATCCCAAGTTCGCCATTTAGAAAACCTAATAAAGGCACAACAGGACAACATAGAGTCTAGGGATGTAGCTTATTGACACATCATTTACCTAGCATGTATGAGACTCTATGCTTAGTTTATAGCTACTCCGTCAAAGAAAGGTAAGAACTATTCAGATTTTAAATACCTTTTATAGATAAAGATTTTTTTTTAAAAAAAATGCTGTTTTTATGTTGTTTTCTTTTCCTAATTAAATCCTGTAAAGATGTGTTGATTTCTTTTCCTTTTTTATAGTCTCTTGACTCTCTTGGCATGTTAAACTGATATTTACATACCTGACTTTTAAAATTCTCATGAAGCCCCTGATTGTCCGTGCCCTGGAGAGTCTCTTGCTCACCACATGCATGTGAAAAACTCATGTTCCCAGCAGGTTAGTTATTGAAGACCCCCCTTCCTCCAGTCATGCCTCATGGTTCTCTTCCAGGCTCTGCCGGTCGTCACACTGCTGAGAGCCAAGAGCTATGGAGTAAATCCCTTCTTCTTTTTGAGGACTCTGCTGAAACTCGGCAGTGGGAAATGTCACTACAATTACACTGTGTTTGGGAGGTTTATTTTGTTTAACGATAAAGCTTCTGTCCAGTAACTGTTAACTTGGCATGTGCAGATAGCTTTCCAGAAGGTTTAGAGAAGAGAAAAGATGTTGGATCTGGGACATTCTAGTGTTAAATTTTTATTTTGACCTTTAGGAAGTACCTTCACGTAATAGAGACTCAATTTTTCATTTGTGAAGTAGTCTATTGAGCTGGTTTCTATTCAAGAACAGCTAGAGGTGAGGCTTGCTGGTGATGTTCCTACTACTTTCTTGTCCTAAGTCCTGGGAGTTTTTCTTTGTGACATTGTTTTCTGTATTTCAGGTCTAAATAATATTTGTCTCCTGGTGTGGTACTAGCACACTATAACCTTTCCACCACAGCTTGGTTTACTTGTGTCTCTGAATTATGTAGGTATGGTTCTCAGTCCCCTCTGCATACTAAAATACCTGCAGAGTTTCAAAAGCCCATGAATGTGTAAGCCATATTCAAGACCAGTTAAAGCAGAACTTCTAGGTGGTGGGATTGGAGCAGCGAGTCTGGGATCATGCATAAATGATGATTATATACAATCAAATTGAAACAGCTGATCTAATCCATTTGACTATTGATGTCAATTTAAAACTGGACATTTTTATGTACACCTTATTCCTAAGGGATGTCATTCCTTTGGTTACTACATATTTCTGCTTTACCCATGTTCAGATTGATCCATTTCCTCCTTATCTCCTCTTTCTATGTTCCTAGGTATGGCCTGCTTTGGTTGGGGAGCAATGATACTTTTAACAGTGTGGCAGGGTGAGTTGACTCACAAGCAGCAGCTCACCAGGCTTATCATTTGTGATTTTTGTCAGAATTCTCACAGGTGCTGAATGTGGTTATAGTGCTGAGCAGCGCTTAGTCTGCCTGTTACGAAGTTTTGTTCATTTAAATTGATACATGACACAGCTGTCATGCCGAAAGCCATCATGCTAATATGCTCCTAACTCCCTAACTCCTCAAATTAAACAGATCTTTATGGTAACAGATAACAATCTATAAACAAATCACTAAGTCAGAAACATCTAAATGGAAAACACAGCCTTTGGAAATTGCTCCCTGAAGAAAATTCAATACAGTCGCTCCTCTATCAGTGGACAATTGTTGTAGGAAGTATTGGGGCAGGGAGGGGGAGCATAGTAAGTTGGGTGACAATTCTACTCTTGTCTCTTCTTCATCACTCTTACGCGTAGTCCTTAATCTCTTAGTTTTGTCCTCGTTTAAGCCACATAGCATGTTCCGCAGGAGATAGTGAAAATGAGTAAAAGCTACCTGTGCAGTACCCACTGGTGTATTGGACACTCACTAATGGTTAGTTCTTAGAAACTGCCCCCACCATACACACACAGCACTTCTCCTCCCTCACGTATAGCCTTTTGTTTGTATGGAACATACATTCCATTGTAATTGGTTTGCAGACCTGCACCATCAGCGAGGAGGAAGAGAGGTTCAACAGAGTCCAGCGTGTTTAAGCCCCGTCACTGTCTTGACTTTTATCTGCTTTCTTCTCGTATTTCTTCCTACAAACTCTTGGTTTCTTGCATGTCTTTCTATGTTCCTAGGATAGTTTGTCAGCTAATACCTTTTTGCTTTCTTTTAATGACTACTTCTGAAAATTCTCATTCAGAAAAGTGTCTATTGTAATTAAGAAGAGAACACGGAGTGGGAATCACTCCATACCGTCCAGGTTTACAGAGGCCGGAAGCAGTCGCTGTCCTGGCAGCACAGAGCGTCGTAAGATACAGTAAATGGAATGTATGAAGAAAGCTCTCATCCCCACTGGGTCTCGATACTAAGTCTTTCCTGTGTGACCCTTGTGTCGGGGGCAGTTGTCAAAGGACCCAGGGTACCTGAGAGTTGTTAGCACATTTCTTTTTACTTTAGCCCTCTGAAGGACCCTTAGACGGATGCTCTAGAAATACCGTTTTGTTTCCATTCTCAAACTGCCAAGTAACCTTTAAAGAGGACTGTAAACACTTCTGTACCGACATTGTAGTTTAGGGCCCTACAAAATCACTAGCACCCCCGGGGTCACTGTTTTGACATGTTTTTTCAGTGCTGGAGTTGAGCCCAGGGTTTTGACTACTGCTGAACAGCACCCCCAGCTTTGTACAGTCACCTGGTGCCACTCCCCAAGCTCCTCTGCTGCTCTCAGAAGCCCAGAAGTGCTCTTCTGAGCCACGTCTTCTTTGTTAAATATTGCTCTTGGTTGCTTTGCTTCTCTGATTGGGAACATTTTAACTTAAAACCAAGTCATGACACAGACTTTTGGGTCTTCAGGCATTGTTATCATGGGAGCTGTCATTTCATTTGACCCAACAGTTACAGGCCTGAGACATGTTCATTCTGTAGAATAGAAAGTCAGCATCCACATTGGCAGGCCCTGTATGTTGGGGAGAGGTAGTTTATTCCTGAGAGGCCAGGGCTGCCCTGCATGGCTTGAGGCTAGGGGTAGTAATACAGTTCTTTCTCCCAGGAAGAAGAATGGTAGGGGTGGTCTGGGAAGATTAATCTTTGCTTTGTTATAACCCATGTTTCACCCTTGCCATATTGACCTCCTACCACTGTTAAATGATTAATGAGCTGTACCTTCTCCAGCCATTCTGGGGATTCTGGATCTTTTTTCTCTTAGTCCACTCAGATTAGAATCTGGGATGCATTATGTAAGCCGTGCTGTTGAAGAGACAGAAGAAACCCAAAGAAGGACTGCAAGACCTGCAGCCAAAGTGCTTCTCTTTCCTTAAGTCTTACAGCCAAAATCAGTTTATTCTTATTTCATCATCTCATTTTTCGTATTATTGAGTTTGTATTACCTGCAGTGATGCTGCATTTGAAATAACCTTCTAGCCTTTCCCTTTGTTTCACTCTAAATTGCCTTTGAATATGCTTGGGGATTGCTGGGTAAGATTCCCCTCTTTTGGTCAGCAGGCCTGACTCTAATAGCTAGGAAGTGACATAGAGGAACTATAGAACAGATATTTGAAAGTCAAAAAAATACTTTATTGGTTACTGTTCTTGTTCTCATTTTCCATTCTATTATTTAAATATGAATAGCATTCTTTGTTGCTTGCAGAATAGTACTGCTTTGCTGAACTCTGTTTTGCAAATTCTCGTTTTTATGTCTATGTAAAATTTTCTCTCTGTTCCTACTTTACTTTATTCTCCATCCTGCTGCATTTAGAAGATAAGATGATCTCTTGTCTTCTAAATAATGGGCCTGATTCCTCACCTGAAATTTGGTGTGTGATTTATTTATTAGAAGAAAATGAGGGAATATGAATGAATGAGAATTTATCCCCCCGCCCCATGTGTGTGTTTATTACAGAGTACAAGGGACAATTTGTGGGAGTCAGTTCTCTTCCTCTACCATGTGTGTCCATATGACCAAAACTCTTGCAAAGACTTGACATACTGAGATATTTTGCTGCTCTGAAATATTTAATTATACCTTATCTAACTACTTTTGGTTCCTAGAAGGAATTGACTTCCTTCTTTGGTTAGTACGTCACTACAAGCTCCCCTTGAAATAAAAGATTGAACAATAACAGTGTTTA